TCAGAAAGGAAGACTTGAAGACACAGGGAAACCTTTCTATTTTATATTTAGGTGTGATGAAGAATGGACAGTGGGGCAGAAGTATGATTGGACAAAGGGAGTATAATTTAATGGCCATAAACTGGGGGGAATTTAGCAAAGTCTGATTGCCCACATTCTTCTCTGTGTCCCTGTGTTTTCAGAGAGGGGGACGTTTCTTTCTTCCAGCTATACAGAGGGCACCTCTGGAATGACCTACTTTAGAGGAAAGTCAGAATTCTGTGAAGGCCTGTTTCAGGGGAAAAGGGCAGGAGAAGGTCAAAGAAACCTTCCTGCTTCTGCTATTTTCTCAAATGCCAAGGGGCCATATTTTGGGGTAGTGCATCCTAAACCCCATCAGGACTAAATTAAAGAGCAGGTTAAAAGAATTAAACTATTGCTGAGTCATCTTGAAAGGAACAGGGGAATATCAGAATGAAAGAGAGCACAAGAAGAATATCCCAATAGTGGAAGAAGTTCAAAACCTAAGGAAGAGCAATGTTTATGGATGAGCGCCTGGCAAAGGTGTGGACTTTCACCAGGTTTCCAAGCCTTATTAGATGATGAATGAGGCCCAAAGTAGAAATTATCTTGGAATATTGGGGAATCAGAGAAAATTATAAGTCTGGATATGTAAAGCATTATGGAGGACTTTAAAGGGCAGCTAGAGGAGTTTAAATTAATTCATATTCTCAGAAGTATTTTGATTAAAACAAGAGGAAAAGAAAACCTAAACCATATTAATGCTGTTAGAATCAAAGAAGAAGGGACATATTGGGGGAAAAAAATGAACATTCAATTCATTTTGAAAAGGGGAATGGGGGTAGAGATGTTTATTTTATTACATCTAACAATTCAGAGAAGAAATAAATACTGCTAGGGCATTGAGCCTAGAGATGAGCATATATGGTGATCTAGACAGAACTAGGGAACACAGCAATGAGCATAAAAGAGAAAGGTCAGAGCCAGAAATAGATAATTTGGAAAGTTCTGCTTAAAAAGAATCTTTCAAGTCAAAGGAAAACAGAATTGCTAAGCCAGGTAAAAAGCAGTGAGGCTGGAAGAAGGCTAAGGCCACTGTTCTGGGGGAGCCCCCATGAACCAAATGCCCCTTCCCACCACCTGTTTTTGTAAATACAGTTTTAGTCCAACATAGCCTTGATCCTTCATTTACATATTGTTTATAATTGCTTTTGCACTCCAAGAGAAGAGTTGTATAGTTGAGACAGAGACCAAATGGCTGACAAAACATAAAGTATCTGGCCCTTTATAGAAAAAACTTGCCAACCCCAGATAAAAGAGGAAGAGCTACCAGAAAAGATTTGCCAAAAAGGAACTCTGAACCCAAGAAAGTATAGCTGCAAGGAAGTCAAGAGAGAGGAGGATTTCAAAGGAGTAGGTGAAAAGAAAGGATACAGTGGGTGTGGGGAGGATGAGGCTTAGGGAAAAAAATCTTTGAACGTTATGACTAGCAGGTCATTATGTGCCATTCCAAAATATCAATTTCTAGATGGACCACAACCTATCACAAAATACTCAAGAGATATATTTGTTTCTCCCTTCCTTCCTTCTTTAGCATTAAAACATTGTTTTAGTATGACAACAATCTATTTTTTTCTGCCTTACTTCCTTCTTTTCTTCCTTCTTTAGTATTAAAACATTTCTTCCTTCTTTAGTACTAAACATTCCTTCTTTTATTCCTTCTAAAATTTAATATTAAACATGTAGCACTGATCCAGGTGCTGTTGGAAGATACCTAAAGACAAGATGTGCATCCATAGAAAGTCATATAGAAAATAGTACTAGAGATGTAACAAGACAATATATGTGAAAATGTAGAATGCCATATGAAATTAAAGAATTTTGCATTAAGGCAATACATTACCACATACCATATACATAGTTTGGACTGAGTGCTTTGCATTCAATGGTTATTGTCAATAAAATGTCAAAGCAGGCTTTGAGAAATTTGGGATTATAGTGTAATTCAGACAGCACAAACAAATTCTTACTACCTTTGTGACCTTGGGACAAGTAATTTAGCTTCTCTTCACTTTACTTTGTTCATCTGTAAAACTGGGAAAAACAATGCCCATTCCATAGAACTATTCCTCATATTCACCCTGGCATGTGCATTTCCATTGCATGATTTGCAGGGCTGTATATTATTCATGCTCTGTTGATTGCCTAGCTTCATCTCCCATCTTCCTCACAGCAGTCTCACTTCAGCCACATCACACTGCCAGCAACTGCTTGTCTTCTCAACGTTTCACCAATTCTTCGGTCTTCCTGGAAAGTACTCTCCACCTTGATCGTGTCATGCTGATAAATTTCTACTCCTTCTTAAAGACTTGGCTGAGACATGGTCTGCTTTGTGACTTGTCTGTGTTCCCTGAAAAAATTTAAAGCATCATCCTCTGCATTTCCACAGTGCCTCATACTGAAAGCACTTAGACTTAAGTTGATCAAACAATTTATCATCCTAATTGAAACACTTTTAAAAGTGAAAGAGGATGCTACTAGTAATTACACCAGGACAACAGACCTAAACCAGGACTGCCCCAGCAAACTCAGATGCATGGTCACTCACCTTTTTCTTATGTTGAAGTAATAATTATTTACTGGTCTGTCATCTCCTCCCCCCCCCCGCCCCCAACAAAATATACACATATATGCACAATCCTTGAGCCCCTGGAAGGGGATGGCCTCAGCACCTGGCCCAATGACACATAGGAAGCAGTTGATTAATCAATTAACTTATTGATTAAATCATGATGATTTTATTGGAGGAGAACAGTATAGCCTGATGAAATGGCATAGAAAAAGAAAAGGAGATGGGAGGGCACGTTTACAAGCAAATAAACTCTCCTGGGTAGAACAGATGTTTGGGGGTTGGAACATAATTTGAGAAAGGATTGTGGAACTCTTGATCCTCAATCAGGATAAGGAATTTTTAACAGTAGGGGAAGGGGAAGGTTAAAGCAAGGAATGACGTGAGGATAATGGGTAATTTTATGTAAGATGAATAGGAGGGAGCAGAAAGAAGAGGGAACTGCAGAGACTATTTGGATAAAATATTAAATTATGAAAGCCTGGATTAGGAATATTTGCCATTTCACATTTTATGCTTGGGGACAAAGTCGAGACCATTTAGACTGCAAGTAACAGAAATCCAAATTAGCCTGGTTTAATCAAAAGAGGGAAAATTGGCTGGGTGCGACAACTCAGGCCTGTAATTCCAGCACTTGGGAGGCTGAGGTAGAAGGATCACTTGAGGCCAGGAGTTTGAGACCAGACTGAGCAACAGAGCAAGACCCCATCTCTACAAAAAAAAACAAAAAAGAATTAGCTGGGTGTGGTGATGCACACCTTAGACCTACTTGGGAAGCTGATGGTGGAGAATCACTTGAGTCCAGGAGTTTGGGGCTGCAATGAGCTAAAAATCATGCCACTGAATTCCAACCTGGGAGACAGTGTGAGACCCTATCTCAAAAGAAAATAAAAGTGGGTAGGAGGGCTGAATTTGTCAGCTCAGCAAGAATAAATATGTAGGCATTGCTGGATCCAGGTCCACAAACAGTGTCATCTCATTAGGAATCTTCTCTCCTTTTCCTAGTTCTGCTTCTTACTATGTCAGATTCATTCTTAGTCAAGTTCTCCCCAAAATGGTTTTCAGCAACTTTCAGCCTAGTTGCTGAAACTGCTTTGCCAACAATTCTAGCAAAAATCCTAAAGAAGGTTCTCATTGGATACCTGCCCATTCCTGAACCAGTCGCTGTTGGTGCGAGGGGTTATGGTCTGACTGGCCAGGGCTCGGTTACATGCCCACTCCAGATGATAGAGTTGGTTTCACCTGAACCAAATAATCTAAGTGTTTGTGGGGTGTGGGGGTTAGGGTTGGGAGGATGGAGGGGTGAGGCACACAGATGGGAGCAGGGATATCTCACTAAAGGAAAACTAACTTGTTTTGAAAAGAAAGAAAATGGGTATTAGGAAGCAAAACCAATAATGTTCTCCACATAAAGTCTATGATGTTATTTCTCAGTTTGAAGAGAACAGTGAGCTCCTTTAGATCATCAAAATCAAATCACAGAAAAAAAATTTCAAGAGGAAACATAAAAGTAATGATATTCCAAATGAGCAAGAATAAAGATATCTATTTGTTCTGAAATACTTTAGATTACATTTATGCAATATAGTTAAAATATAAGAGCTAAAATATAATTTGTTATCTTTAACCCAAAAAATATGTTGTTTATTATAATAGTACATATCTCATGCTTATTATCCATAGAAAACAAAATATTATTTCACCTTTCCATCCAAACTATGAATGGAATAGTACAGAAACTTATGATTACTGATGTTTGAGAAGGCCGTTATGGAGCCAAAGGAGGGTTGAAAAGGACAATTAAAATGGCCCAATTTTTGTTGAATTCTTTATATAGTCTTATTGAGGAACGAATTGATAAAATTCTTCAGTCTGATATGACAAGGTCTGTGGATTTAAGAAACACTCATAAATTTGTTTGTAGAACTGATAGCATAATTCTGGAAAAACTACAAATGTGAATTTTCCCATGGTACAATGTTAGTGTTCCTAGTTGTCTAGATTAAAACAATTTTTTTAGAATGAATGTCTATTATTCTTAAATTAGAAAAAGAAACAAAAAAGTTTCCTTAAGAGAAGGAAGAATTATGACATACAGGGAAACTAGTGTTGACCTTGAACTGGTGTCATTGTGGTCTTTCTCACAGGTTTTTTTGGTTGTTGTTTTTGTTTGTTTGTTTTTCCATAAATATCCATGAATATCTCAGAAACAACATTGAGTTGGATGGACCATTGATTTGAAATAATGTGGTAATTCTCTGATTATGTAAATATTATTAAAAACCATTTCCACAGCATTATGCTAGTGTACGTAATAAGAGTTTCATCATATTCACTGATACCTTACTAAATCATTTTGATTCCTTTCAAGAACGTACCTTTCAAGAACAAGTTTCTGACACAGAAAATAACCTGAACCAAGGACCCAGCTTGGTGGAAGCCATCTTTAAAATATTGTACCATTGCAGTTTTTCTCCACAAACATTTGCAAATGTTTTTGTGAGCTACATGGAAGAAGAGCAATTATGGGACTTTTTATATAACATCCCAGGTATGAGACATTTACTATTTTTAAAAGAAATGTTCTATAGATACTTAAATTTACCTTTAGAGATGTTTAGAAGTTGTATTGATATTGGTTTTGCTGAATCTGTTGTTTGTGAAAGTTTACCTTACATTTTTTCAGTATAAAGCCTTCTGTTGGGAATCATTAATTATTAGTTCCCGTAAAATTTCATATACTTTGGGACAAGATGCAAGGGAGGTTGAAGGGAAAAGATTTTCTTATTTTATTAATTAGGGAATGTTCTGTCATAAAAATTTATTTTAATATTTATCACAGATTATGTTTTGCTATTGAGCATATAAGATATTGGTAAGATGTGAAAAGTATTTTGTGATTCTTGGGTGTATTTATTCAGCAAATTAATGGACAATACTATTGGTCAATTTTCTTCAGATGTATAAGGCATTTATTATTATGACCACAGTGCGCCTCTCTACAAGGCAAGCATATCCTGTGATTCCTTTGGAGAGAATATATTTTTCCCATCTGTATTGTTCTTCTTCCTTCAGCTACAGAGAATAATAAAGGCAGTGCAGATTGTATGTTTGAACAGAAGGTTTTGATGGGTTGCCCCACCCTCTGGCCAGTGTAAAAATTCTCACATTGTCTTATCCTTAATATTCTTCCTCTAAATTTTCATATTTAATATCTTGGGAAAACAAAGGATGAAAACTTAGACAATGATTTTTATTATTATCCTGCTATTCAAATAGTGATTTTTATCATTTACATTTAGTTTTCAACCTATAAACTTTCTTTTATCCTGCTTTGGAACCTGAATTTTCGTAAAATATTTCCTAGGCTTCATATAAAATATCTAACTAGTTCATAATCACGGTTTCACTCCTCCCAGACTTTTTGACTATCCTCCAGATATTACTTGAATATCATTCTAGCTGTTTTAAAGTCATTATGTTTCATCTTCTCTTGGTCATTATCCCTATAAAATAGTAATAGATAACTTTATGTTATGATTTCCAAAATCCAAATCTGTCATTTAAAGTTTCTGTAATAATGATCTCCTTTTAAAATATTATCTCCTAGTTGCCATGCATTCCCTTACTGCTTCTTGCTTCCTCAAAGGAAGGGCATATTTCTAGGTAAAAAGGCTGAATTAGAAGCTTGTTGTGTTTCTGACGTAGTCTTTACTGAATTGAAAGAAAAACGACCTTGAAAGTTCTGCCACCCTCTACTGTTTTTAGTTGTTTCTGGGGAAGTAAGAGCTGGATTTTCTCACAAGATTATAAAGAATCGGTGACCCTCATGCTTCAACCACTATTTATCCTTCAACTATTAGGTTCCTGAACCATCTTTGACACTCAGCACAAAACTATACTGAAAATGACCTAGAAGATATAAATGGATTTCTGGTGCTGCTAGCGGAAAATAAAACTGTTTCTTGCTCCTAATTTGACATCCCTCCATCTACATATTGAGCAAACCCTCCCCCACATGGTCAGACAAGTCTCAGGAAACAGACGTTGTACATATTCATAGAGGCTGAATTATGTGTGAAAGCTCAAAGCGGCAGAACTTCAAATGGGTGAAACTCCCTCACCCTTTATACAAGTTGTTGCTCCATAAACATTAAATATTCTCAAACCTGATACCTGCAGTGGTCATGAGGGTCTGAACTTTTCTCTTTTCTCTCCCATTTAAGTCTTTGAAAAGGTCTTTTTTTTTCTTCTGTTAGCAATCGTGGTTATTTTAAAAACCCTAGTAAGATAATAGAAGGTACTAATTCATAACAAAATTAAGCCTTTTACTATGACTTTTGTTTAATTTGAAAACATAACATGTTTACAAGAAATACAGCTAAGACATGTAATCATAATCCCACAATATTTACATTTTATTACTAATAGATCTATTCTTCAGTAAATATAATTAATCTACTCAGATTAACTAAAGTACGTTATTTTAAAACTTCACTGCTGTAGTTTCCTCATACTAAATCACTGTCTATGATTTCAGCATAGTTTACCCATAAAACATCACCGTCTTATCATTTTAGGGTAAAACGACAAAGATGAAGTGGTCAGTATCTTCATCTTATTGTTAAATAAACAAAAAGCAGAAATATTAAGAGAATTGCCTAAGACTGTCCACCAATTAAGTTGGACAGACTTAGCACAAGAAACCAGATCTCCTCTCTCCTAAGCCAGCAGTCCCCAACCGTTTTGGCACCAGGGACTGGTTTTGTGGAAGACAATTTTTCCACCAGGAGGGGGATGGTTTCAGGATGAAACTGTTCCACCTCAGATCATCAGGCATTGGTTAGATTCTCATAAGGAGCAAACAACCTAGATCCCTCGCATGCGCAGTTCACAATAGGATTTGTACTCCTATAAGAATCTAACACACTTCTGATTTGTCAGGAGGTGAAGCTCAAGCAGCAATGCTCACCCACCTGCTGCTCACCCCCTGCTGTGTGGCCCGGTTCCTAACAGGTCACAACCCAGTACTGGTCTGCAGTCTGGGGGTTGGGGACCCTGTCCTAGGCCATGTTATTTCTCATTTTTTTCTACTGGACTAAAGTTTTTGAGACACTACTTTTATGAACATATGAATTCAGTAATGAATTATACAATCTGATTTTATACTTAGAATTCCATCTAACACATAACTCCTTAGACTGGACATAAGCTAGGGAGGGACGACAAGAAGGAATATACCCACTTAAGATTACTACAAAAGCTATAAACACAAAAAATAATTAAGTCAGAGACCTAATGTGGGTGTTTCTAGGGCCAATGCACTCTATAATAAATAGATTTGCTAACAATCATTGGACACCTGTGTCTTCAAAGTAGATCAAGCATTATTCAGTTAGACAAATGCAAATATCAAAGCATACATTACCTCAACTGGTTTTTAAAACAATGTCAGAACAGGCTTGTAAATGAGGCAAATACTGTCAAAAATGCCCGTCTAATATGATAGTAATATGTTCAACAAGTATTGTTCACTTGGCTCCTTGATATGGCATTGGGCTTACTTTCGTTTTCCGAATCAGTTTTCTTAACTTTCTCACAACCTTTGGGAAAAAAACTTTCAATAACCTAGCAAAATTTCTCAATTAAAGGTTAAGATCCAAAGTTTCCACTTTGGTTTTCTACTCCTCCTCAGCCTCATAAAGACCTTTAAGAAGAGTTGTTTAGAGAGTATATATATGCTATATTGCCTTCTTGTTGCCAAAATTAATTTACAGTGCCTTACCTTCCTATCAGACACAGTGATTGTCTCTATTACCTACATAAACACCTGCAGCATAGTATAGGTAGATTTTAAATGTAAGCTTTCACATATTGAAAGGCTGTCTTTGTTCTATGTTGTAACTAACCATTTATTCTGATCCTTTTGTCCCCATTCAGTTTGTTTGCAATTCACCTTAAAAATGTTTTAAAATATTTTGTTGATTGAATACAATAAAATTCACTCATTTCAAGTGAAGAGTTCAGTAAGTTTGACCAATGTATAAATCTGTGTGACAGCCACAACGATAAAGATACGGAACATTTTCTGTCATCTCCAAAGGTTCTTTCATTCCCCCTTTGCCATCCATTCTCCTTTCAAGTCTCAGCACCAGGAAGACACTGACCCACTTTTTGTCATGATAATTTACTTTTGATATTCTAGAATCTTATATAAATAGAAATCTATGTATTCTTTTGTGTCTAGCTTCTTTTGCTCAGCTTAATGTTTTTGAGAATTTTATATTATGCTTTATCATTAGTTTATTTCTGCTCATTGCTGAGCAGTATTTCACTGAGTAGTACTTTTTTAATCCACTTGCCAGTTGGATGGACATTTTGATTATTTCTAGTTTTTGGCTACGATGAATAAAGCTGCTATGAATACTACTCTATGTCTTTGTGTGACTACAGATATCCCTCAGTATATGTGAGGAATTTATTCCAGGAACCATTCCCCTTATTAAAAAATCCATATACTCGGCCAAGTGTGGTGGCTCATGCCTGTAATACCAGCACTTTGGGAGGCCGAGGTGGGTGGATCATCTGAGGTCAAGAGTTTGAGACCAGCCTGACCAACATGGAGAAACCCTGTTTCTACTAAAAATACAAAATTAGTTGGGCTTGGTGGCATGTGCCTGTAATCCCAGCTACTCAGGAGGCTGAGGCAGGAGAATCACTTGAACCTGAGAGGCAGAGTTTGCAGTGAGCTGAGATGCCATTGTACTCCAGCCTGGGCAACAAGAGCGAAATTTTGTCTCAAAAAAAAAATCCATATACTCAACATATACTCAAGTCCTGCAGTCAGCCCGACAGAACCTGCGTATATGCAGGTTTTGCATCCTGCAAATATTGTATTTTCAATCCGCATTTGATTGAAAAAAGTCTGCATGTAAGTCAACCTGTTGCAGTTCAAACCCATGTTGTTCAAGGGTCAGCTATGTATGCTTTCATTTCTCTTCAGTAAGTACTTAGAAGTGGAAATGCTAGGTGATGTGATAAGTACATTTTTAACTTCATAAGAAACTACTGGCCAGGTGTGGACTCACGCCTGTAATCCCAGCACTTTGGGAGGCCGAGGTGGGTGGATCACCAGGTCAGGAAATCGAGACCATCCTGGCCAACGTGGTGAACCCCGTCTCTACTAAAAATACAAAAATTAGCTGTGTGTGGTGGTGCGTGCCTGTAATCCCAGCTACTCGGAGCCTGAGGCATGAGAAGCACTTGAACCCAGGAGGTGGAGGTTGCAGTGAGCCGAGATTGCGCCACTGCATTCCAGCCTGGCAACAGAGTGAGACTCCATCTCAAAAGAAAGAAAGAAAGAAAGAAAGAGAGAAAGAGAGAAAGAGAGAAAGAGAGAAAGAGAGAAAGAGAGAAAGAAGAGAAAGAGAGAAAGAGGAGAAAGAGAGAGAGAGAGGAGAGAGAGAGAGAGAGAGAAGAAAAGAAAGAAAGAAACTACTAAACTGTTTCACAAAGTAGTCATATCTTTTTACATTTTGACCAATAACGTAT